AGCACTTTTCATCCAATGTCTTGACATATTTTTGAGATCGTCAGTCCATCGTGTAGGGGGTCTTCCTCTACTTCTTTTGTCTAATCTCGGCATCCACTCAAGCAATCTCTTCGTCCACCTTTCAGCACTGATTCGGACGTCGTGTCCGGCCCAGTTCCATTTTAGTAGTCCCGAATTGCCACACTAAAATGCAATCTACTATTTAGTTAAAAATATCGAGTTTTGTCGAAGTTAAAAACAACATTTCTTGGCTTATTTCAGATGCTCCTGAAAATGTTCTAGAAGCGAAAGTACTTGGGCAAGATTTAATTAATAAACTTGCTCGATATCTGCCTTTCATTTGATTAAAGGTCATATATGGTATGATAATAAATGACATAAAGTAGATAATAATATGAAATTCGATGTAAAAAAATATTAATACAATAAAAAATAATAATTACCTTCCCAAAAAGAAATTTCCAACAAATAGATTCACTATCTCGATAACAAATATTACTAAATTAACTAAATATTGCTTCCAATTGGAGTCATACATAAGGTACCGTTCATTTACCACACGTATAAAAACCAATGGGGTTATAATGATCTTTCTCTTGACTGGTAGGCAACCAAACATACAGATGTTTAGTATAATGACTACTAGCTATGATGTATAGTCAGAATTTTTTATGGGTGGTGGATATTATACATTGTAGTATAACACTTTGAAATTTTGAAACCATAAAATGTTTTGTATATGGTAGAGGGTTAATTCAAAATATATTTTTACCACTGTTGCTTTGTTCCCTTTATTTAATATTATTGCAGTCTAGTTTTACTACTAAGCTGCTATTGAATCAATATTATTTACCATTATAATAACCACTTTGAACCAGAGCCTTCTTAAATGTTAACTAATATAAACTGAAACGAGTACTACAGACAATTCTAAAATCAGATTATATTAATTGCTACAACCAGGCAGGAAACAATTTTATAACAATCAGATATACTTTTATTTAATACTAATTTTTATGATATACTAAAGATTAGAAGAAAATTGTGTTCACAATATTCGCATTATTTTCTTTATTGTTTAAGTAAAAACAATAGGGAGGCATTATATTAATTTACTCTAATACTATGTATTATTTTCATCGAACAAAAAGACGAAAGAGGGAATCTAATCGTTATGAAAAGGAGACCAAAAAAGTGGCCTCTGATGGCGGACATATCCGGAAATGTGAATGCGCCAAATTTAAATTTTCCGACACTTATTAACAGTAGCTATAAAATAGTTTTTAGAATGTGTCTTAGACGAGAAAGTTTTAATCAAATATTAACGATAATAGTCTAAAATGTGACACAATTGTTAAAAAACTTCAATATAAATAGGATTTCATGTGACAGTTGGGATAAACAATAACATAACCCAACTAAATTTGGTTTCTTAAACAAGGAAAGACTTTCTTTCCTTGTTTAATGTGGCCTCTCGAGATGGCACTTCCTCTCTAACAATATTTTTGCCCCCACTACCTTTACATTTGGCTATGCCCATACCATATGAGCTGTTTTCTCTCAATATCCTCAACTATAGTCCTCATACCCATTTGTTGTTTTATTACTTCATTCCGTATTCTGTCGGCTCTTGATATTCTCATCGATCTTCTGATGGCATCCATTTCCGTGGCTTCGACCTTTTTCTTGTATTCCTCGGTTATTCTCCATGTCTCAGCTCCATAAAGTAGGCTAGTTTTAACCATTGTCTCATAGATGTTCCATTTTCTTTTCTTTGATATTTCTTTACTCCATAGAACTCCGTTCAAACATGCTACAGATCTTCGTGCTTGTACAATTCGATGTTTTATTTCTAGTTCGTCTTTTCCACTACGGTCTAAGATGACGCCCAGGTATTTATATTCGTTGCATGATTTATTTTTTGATTGTCATCGATATCGAGTTGATCTGCTTCAGCTCCAATTGAGAGGTATTTTGTCTTTTCTAAATTGATATTTAATCCCCATTTCTGGTATTCTTCAATTAGTTTTCTAAGCATGTATTCCATGTCATCTTTGTCATTTGAGATCACCACCTGATCATCTGCAAACTGTAAAGTATATATGTAATCCTGATCGTTCAATTGTATACCCATTCCTTTGACTTTCCTTTTCCATTGTTTCAGAGCTGCAGAGATATAAATCTTAAATAGAGTCGGAGAGATACAACATCCTTGTCTGAGACCCTTAGTAACTGCAAATTTTTCAGCTAAGAGGTTTCCGAATTTCATTTGGGAGTTTGAAACATAATATAGATCTTTGAGAGCATAACCAATGTTTGATGTATGTTTGATGTGCCCAGGACTTCTCATAGTTTATTTAGCGGGACTGTGTCATATGCCTTCTCAAGATCTACAAAAGTCATATCTAACTCTCTATTTGTCACAATTTTCTTTTTTATAATTTGTTTAAGACAGAAGATGTTATCTGTACATGAACGACCTGCTCTAAATCCTCCTTGTTCTTCGTCTTCAGACGATTGATAATCTTCCTCTATCAGGTCCCGTCGTATTCGACCGTATAGTCGACTCATTGAACTTGTGACCGATATCCCTCTATAGTTTTTACAATTTCTCCTGTCACCTTTTTTATATATTGGGGTCATATATGCTGTTTTCCATTCATCTGGTGTTGGATGTCCATTAATATATTCGTTAAATATCACCGTGATCATTCTGTGTAATTTCTCTGAGCCATTCTTTATTAATTCCGTAGTTACTTCCTCTGGTCCACTTGCTTTCGCATTCTTCATCCCTGCTATAGCTTTTTGAACTATGTTGATATCTATGGTAATATGCTCTCCCAGAATTTCGATTCTTGATGAATTCATATCTTCTTTAAATTCGTCTCTGTTCTCATTTAATAGATGTTTGTAATAATGTGTCCAATCATCGGGATTTATGGACTTAGAATCACTTTCTCGTTAGTCGGCTTCTTAACAGAGTTTATAAACTTCCACGCCTCAGTGCATTGTCGTCCTCCAATATAAGATTCTATCTCTCTGCACCTTCTATCCCATATCTCATTTTTGGAGGTCATAATTATCTTTCTAGTTTTCTTCTTCATTTCATTGTATCGGTCTTTGTCTGCGTCATCTTTTGTATTGAACCACTTATGGTATAATCTTTTCTTTTCTGTTACCGCATTTTCGACGTCTTCATTTTACCAAAGCTTGTTACTAATTTTATTTTGTTTGATTCCTAAGACCTCCTGTGCTGTTTGATGAATACTTGATATTATGTTCTCATATATGCATTTGGTATTTGTTAGTGTTTCGTCAAGTTTGGAGTACATTCGAGTCTTATATAGTGTGCGGGTGCTCTCATGAATTAAACTGGACAGATTGTATTGAGGAAGATCAATTCTTTCTAAAAGTTGTTCGTCTTGGCTTGATGAGACACTGTCCTTTAATCTATATGGGAAAACAATTTTTGCCCTGACCATGTGGTGATCTGATCCGCATACTGCTCCTACTGTTATAACATAGGTATGTTGCGTAAAACGATTTAATATTTTATATTTTATAAATATCCCCAATGAATAAGATTTGTACAAAAATACAAAATACAAAACCGATTTGTATTTTGAGAACGATTTCCGAAGTGGAAATTGAAACGTCAATAAACGTACTTTAACCTTTAATTGTGGCTTGTTCCCAGTTAAATAGTAATTAAATTACAATAAAGCATATTTCTATTCTATTCTATGTGAATTTGTTAAAACTTTTTTACAAATAATTACTTGAAGTATAAATTTTCCAATTAAATATTTTTAAATGACTAATTATTTTATAATTTGTTGCTAATCGTATGTTAGGAAACCCGGCATAAAAAATCGACATATGTAGTTCATATATCAGATGGCATTGAAACTTTATATATGCCTATAATATATCATATCATAAGCAATACGAAGCCTTTGTCTCGTATTCTAAGACTTCAAGTCTTTCACATCAAACCGCACCCATGAGAACCTCCGAATATGTATTGCCAACATTTTTTACTAATTATTGGGAATGTCCTTATGTGATTAAAAGGTTAATGTTATTATGATGTTAGAAAAATGGTACTGTTCTGTTTGCGTTGTATAAGAAACTATTAAAAATTGATGGGTGGAATATACTAGAAACTGTTAATCTTTGTAAATAAAATTGCTGATGTGCTTATATTATTTCTGACCTTGGGGCATGCTTTTATATGTAGATAGTAAGCTATTACTTCATATTTTTGTAAGTTTCTAAGCAAATATTTTTCTGCTGGGTTTTGTTTGTATGTTTTTTTATAAAATTAAAAATTTATCATTATAATACCCACGCACATTTACTGCTAAATCTTAGCTAGGCTTCTTTCTTTTCCTTTTAAACTCACCTATGACTAGCTTCTCTCATTCAGTTTTTTATATCCCTATTTTAAGTCATCGGTCGATCTTCTTGTAGATTCGTTCTACAATATGGATCAGTATCTTTCTTCTCTGTCACTCCCAATTGAATATTTGAAGCTTTTGTTAGACTGAGTGTTTCCATATCTTAAAGCTACACATTGGAAAGTGAGTGCCGCCATCACACTTCTTTAGAGTCGAGTCCATACACAACGGACAAGAGATTAGTTTTATGTGATTTTCCTATCTCATTGCAGAATATTACCTGTCCTAGGCGCAGAATCTAGCCATAGATAACCTTCACTTTTTCTATAGAAAGCATAACCAAGATTGTGGTATGCAATTAAGGTATTTGTATTGACTGATCAGCGCAGCTTGTATATACAAGTTATTATCTACTAGAATAATCTGGAATAGGACACCTCTATTTTCCCTTGTCTTAGTATCAGCGCCTCGATATGTCCGCCGATCGATAGATCATGAACATTCTCCAACACAGATCACCGTCGCGAGATGCAACCATTATCAATATGGGGTACATCGAAATAAGCATGTTCATTACAATATAGATATTTTTTGTTACAGCTGTTAGTCAAGAAACCGTTCCTGCACAGTTACCAATAACAGGAGAACCAAATGTAGACATATTCCTGGATTTGTCTTTCCCAAAAGGAATACCGATGTTTTTCCTTAACGGAAAAAAACTGCAATTACTATCTCCTTTAGACAGAGATGAGAATAATCTTTCACATATTGTGTTCCAGGTAAGTTTACGTTCAAATGTATTGCATGCATAAATTAAAGTTAAACTAAAATAGATATCATATCCTACATCTGTTATCCCAATAATTGTTAAGGCAATATCCTATTATACGTGATTATATTCGTTTACAATCATTGGCAAAGACCCAGGTTATAAAGTGAGCTTCTTCATAATTAAAAATATTTAACATTGTTATTTGGATTTCTATATTTGATTTATAATTACATTCTAATATACTATTTATTATTAATATTAAATTCCAAGTCATACTATTTACTATATTTTGACAATGTTTTGTATAAAACTTACTTAGATCGCTCATTAACTGATTATAATAATAACAAAAGACGTTTGTATATATCTGAATAAATAACCCACTTTGTACAAGCTTTGTCAAAGGGACGAGAAGAATAAGAAAAGACGTCAGTATTTTAGTAGAATCCCATTTTAGGCCTAGCACCGTATCATATCAAAATGTCTGAGCCAAAGCCTTGATAATAAACGAGGATTGTTGCTGACGTATTTGTCTAGCAGAAAACCAACGAGCTTCAAAAGCTGAGTGAGTGCTAACTGCAGAGAGCGAGAAGATAAGAGAGAATCACTTCCTAACAAACCATTGTCAGGATCATTCCTAACAAAATGTTGCATTAGAGCTGGTGAGGCAGTGGAAAAGTGATTCTGACAGAAAACCGTCAGGATGGTTGCTGGTACATTGACCTAGCGAAAAATCAACGAGCTTTAAAAGCTGAATAAGTGCTCACTGCAAAAAGCGAGAGGACAGGAGAGAATCAATTACTATTTAACTGGGAATAAGCCACAATTAAAGATAAAAATACATTTATTGACGTTTCAATTTCCACTTCGGAAATCGTTCTCAAAATACAAACAGTGTTTTTTGTCATTTTTTGTCGAAAGAAATTTAACTTCAGATAGTTGGTGTAAATGTTCGGCGTTATTTCGATGAGATATTTCCCGGACGATAAATTGGTAGACAAGGTAGAATTGAATGGCCTCCACGTTCACCCGATCTCAATCCTAAACATTATTTTTATTAGAGATACTTGAAAAATTCAGTTTACAAAACTTAACCAGCAAGTCTTGCATAGCTAAGGCAATGAAATATCGATGAATCTCGAATAATTTCTAGACAATCATGGAGAAAATGTGGTAGACGCATTCTACCATCGATTAGAGTGCTGTCAACTCACAAATGGAGCATATTTTGAACACTTAATAACGTAACTATTATGTTAAAAAATATTCTAAACTATCAATTGTTACGTTTTAATGTATTGGAAAATAGTTAGTATTAAAAAATTTATTGAAACAATTTAGGCGTTGCCAGACTTCTGTTTTATGTATTTAAGACCTTCCAGACTACATAAAATCATAAGTGTTACGTATGGTTGAACTAGTATTTAATAGGAGATTGCAATAATGACTGAATATACAGGGTGATGCATATGAAAAACCAAAGTTTACTAGTAATATAAGAGAAACTGAAAATCTGGCAACATTGCAAATACCAAATATGAAATCTCCGTATCCCAAAATAGGCGTATCTCAAATTTTGTATAATTATGTCTAGTAATTTACGAGATAATTAGCCGTTTCCAAACTTTTGGGCCACTCTATATTTTTATACCTATTTTTACTTAATTGAAATAAGTACACTTGTCTTCTTACCATTTGATATACCCTCGTACATGTGAATAAAAACTTTATTATGCAAATTTATATGCAAGAGTAAAATACATCATATTTAATGTCTAATAGTGTTGCATCGTTAGCTACTCCTACAGCATCTTCTTCTTCAATTAATTTTCGTGCATCAACTATCAGATTTCACTTACATAAATAATGGTCCGAAGAATATATCCGGCCATTAATGGGTTCACAAGTTCAGATGATCTCCACTAACCGTAGAGAGTGTCTGAATCACGAAGAATCTATTTAAATTTGACCGGTTCTATTATTCGATTCCAAATATGAAATAACATCGCCTTGGGTCAAATTTAAATATTTATTAACTAGAAATATGGTACACGGTAAGAATTGTGCTACGATATAATAACAAAAATGATTGGAAAATTATTTAATATATTCCGAAAGGTTTCCGCGGTTAGTACAATTAAACCTAGAGTTAAGATTGTAACGAATATATTTTGCATAACACATAGGGTATGATTATAAGGGGTTGAAAATTGGGGACAGAAACTATTGGGGTGGAGATAGTTCAAGCAAAACAAAACGATACTTGTGCGGACGGCACTCAGGGTTTGTTGGAGAGCTGGGGTCGTGGATAAGTTAAATGACAAGGGTTCGAATTGGGGCAACTACAAAAATGAAACAAAAGAGGGTACTTACGTAAATCTCCTGGACAAATGGGCAAATAGAAACAACAAGAAAGACTTCTAGCTATGTAAGAAAAAATCCGCTTCGAAGTATCCTAATCTTGCTGGATTTAGGAAAAAAGGCTCTTCTTCCCTAAAATAAGAAACACAAAATAGGTTAGGAGATTTTTCTAAAATAAAAGACAAAATGGTTCAGAGAAATGAATTAAACATTTATTTTTGTCTCAAACAAACAGTTACACAAACAGATAAATAAAAAGTAATTACATTATATATAATTACATGGGTTTATACCAAAATAATTAATAAAGAAAAACTTACATATGTCCTATCTGTTAACAATTGGGAATCGCTACAAAAATTTTCAAAATTGTTATTAAGTTATCAGTTAACTGAGCTATAAATTGTGGCAGAAATAAATTATTAAAAATTTAAGAATTATCTTTTAATTAAAATGAAACATCATTAAGTTAACCTCTTCAAAAAATAAAATAAACAAACGTCATAGAAAATTTAGGCTAGCTGTCATATGTCAACATTTATACTGATGACAGAGAACAATTAAATTGACAGCATAACCACACCCTAAGATTTACTATATATTAATTAATACAATTACTTTAAATTGTGCAATTATGAAAGCAATTATTATTTTTAATGCTTATTTTTACTTTAAAAGTTTAAAACAAAAAGTTACCTTGATTTCACAAAACAATGCACTAAAAACTTCTAATTCATCTCCACTGTGATAGGACAAACTATTTGAGGGTGAAGCTGGCACCGAACACAAAACTTGGAATTTGGCGTCTTAAAAGGACTGGAAAAATGTGGGCATATTTCTAATTTGTTGTAAACGACGCAAATCTCTTAGAGCATAGAAACAGTGGTCACTCTTCTAAATTCGACCTATTACATAGAGTGAAATTCCACCATTTTTGGCAAATTGTGCCGGCTGTCAATCACAACAACGACCGTTTCGTTTGACCAAATCTTCAAACCTAAATTGTTCTTGCACGCTTCCCACAATCTCAAAACGCCAAAAATATTTTACCCCGCGCCCTGCTGCACTTATCTACCATCATCATCATCTTTGACTCGACGATCCTCTGTGGATCTTGGCCTGCTCTAAGATTCGTCGCCATTCTGTTCGGTTTTTGGCAACATGTTGCCATCTTCTGATTTTTAATATTCGTAAGTCGGTTTCTACTCCATCTAACCACCTAATTCGCGGTCGGCCTTTGCTTCTTTTTCCTACAGGTGTTCCTGTGGTTAGCTTTTTAGCAATGGTATTTTCTGGCATTCGTATTATGTGTCCAGCCCATCTAAGTCGCTGTGTTTTAATGAACGTTATGACATCTGGCTCATCAAAGAGCTGATACAATTCAAAATTATATCTTCTGCGCCACTGCCCTTGGTCGTTTACAGCTCCAAATATTTTGCGGAGTATTTTACGCTCAAATATTCCCAAAAGTCTTTCATCTTTCTGCGTTAGTGTCCATGTTTCTGCTCCATATGTGAGGACCGGCCTCAGCAATGTTTTGTATATAATAATTTTAGTTCTTCTTTGAATGTTTCTTGAGTGGAAATGCTTTTGGAGTTCATAGTATGCCCTATTTGTAAGATTTATTCGTCTTTTGATTTCTTCGCTTGTTTTATTGGTAGCAGTCAATAGCAACCCAAGGTATGTGAAGTTGTCAACACGTCCAAAGGTATGACTTCCAAAGACTGTTTCTCGTTCCTTATTTGCTATCGGATCCTTTGTAACCAACATGTACTTGGTTTTGTCTTCGTTGATGACTAGACCGACCTGTTTCGCCGCTGTTTCCAATTCTAGGAGATATTGCTCAACATCTCGCTTGCTACGCCCTATTATGTCAATGTCATCAGGATATGCTAAGACCTGTATCGATCTATTGTAAATAGTACCGCCGTCCCTAATTCGTGTATCTCGGACTGCCTTTTCTAAGGCAATACTAAATAGGAGGCAAGCCAGAGCATCTCCTTGTCTGAGTCCATCCTTTATCTCAAAGGATCTAGAACTCTCTCCCTGTATTCTAACAGTGGCTTCTAAGTTAGACATTGTCATTCTCGTTAGTCGGATAAGTTTCTCTGGTATACCAAATTCATGCATTGATTGGTATAGCACTGTTCTCTTGACACTCTCGTATGCTGCCTTGAAGTCAACGAATAGGTGATGGGTTTCAATATTGAATTCTAATGTTTTCTCGAGAATCTGTCTTATTGAATGAATCTGGTCAATTGTTGATTTTTCTGGAGTGAATCCAACTTGATATTTATCAACTATGCCCACTGTGTAAACTTGCAACCTTTCGTAGAGAATATTTGCTAGTATTTTGTAAGCAGTTGTTAACAGAGTTATACCTCTATAGTTGTCACACTGGAGCTGGTCAAATTTTTTTATATAACGGGCATATCACGCCTTGAGACCATTCACAAGGCCTGGTCTCATTATGCCAAACAAGAAGTAAAAGCTTATGCAGTGTCTGTAGTAGGGCATCGCCACTATTCTTGTAGAGCTCAATGCAAATTTGATCAACTCCTGGTGATTTATTATTTTTAAGCTTTTTAATGGCTTGGGCAACGTTTTCGAAGGTAGGTGGTCTTTCGTTTGGGTTGAAAGGATTCCAATCATTTCGATTTGCTAGAGTGTTATCTGCTTCTTCGATATGATGGCCATTAAATTTTGCATCGAAAAATTCAACCCATCTGTTTAGGATTGAGGCCGTATCATTTAGGATGTTTCCTTCTACATCCTTACAGCTCCTTATTCTTGGCTTAAACTCTTTGCGCATTTTGTTTAGATTTCTGTAGAACTTTCGAGTTTCATTTTGATTTCTTAGAAATTCTGTGCTGTCCAATTGCTTTTGCTCAAATTGTCTTTTTTTTCTTCTATGTAATGGCTTGATTTGTCTTTAGGTATGCCCTGTTTTTGTTATCTGTTGCTTCTTGGCACTCCTTGTCAAACCATTCGTTTTCTTTAACTGGTTTGGTTTTCCCCAATATTTTTGTTGCTTTCTCAGTTATTATGTTTTTACATTTTGTCCACAGTTCCTCTAAGTTTTCCCCCACCTCCAGGCACTCCATTTCTTCGTCCAGGCACTTATCTACCGAATCAGCTAAATTCGTCACACCTACGAATCGTGAAATTCAACCTTGAAATATTTCTGCTTTTAAAACTTCATAGTTAAAAAAACTATGTAAAAACTATATATAAAAAAAATTTATACATAAATATTTCATAGTTAAAAAAAAATTTAACATGCTACAAGATTAATACTATTACAGGACTTAATATTAAACTCAACTGTCTTCCGGATTGAACCGCGGCAATTATCATTGCTCCGAGCTTTCGACATCCTTCGATGTCTTCTTCAGAGCTTCCGAGGTCTCCGTCTTCTGAACCCCCAAACACTACCACACTGATCACTAATCAATGCACTACTGGTGCTGGGAATAGAGGACGGGTGATTAATAATGTCGTTTGTTACGTGGTTTGGGTGGAGGTTAGCGTGGGAGTTGGCGCGAACATTTCTAACAGTATGATTTTGGTTGACGGGAGGAGCGGATGGTATTTTCTTTATGAGAGGTCTTCATGTCGAAGGTATGCCTTCTTCTCTTTTATTGAGACAAGTTGGCCTTTTTTCAATTCCTATGACTTCTCGGATAATTCTTGGTTTATAGAAGCGGATGGGGTTCTGGAGTTTTCAAAATCAATTTCGTGAACTGAATGAAGATGGTGTTGACCTAAAGCTAAAATGGAGTCGGAATTACGAACAGAAATGTTCATAAATCCTATTTTGGATTCTACGATTGGTTTGGCCTATATAGGATCGAGGGCAGTCTGCACAAGGAATTTCATAAAATCCGCGTTGTTCATTTGGAATGTTGTCTTTATTGATCAAAGTAGTAAAAGTTTTTATTGTGAGGGAAATATTCCTCTTGATTTTAGAATTTTGTCAATTTTTTCAGTGACACCTTTGATGCAAGGAAGGAAAGCTTCGTATTATAAGGGTCTGAGTCTGAGTCTTGACGAGGGTTAAGATTGACTGGGAGATTGATGTCTGTGGATGCTTCAATTTCACCTTCATAAATCAGTTTCCACATCCATGTATACCATTTAGATGGGTTTAAAAAGACACCAAAACATTCTTAAGGCCATCAGCCAAATAACGAGTGTATCGTCAACACATCATAGCTAACATGTGAGTTTGAGCATTGATGTGGATAATGCTCGGATCTCGAAGTCTTTCATAAAGATATTGGCAATTACTGGAGATAGTTGGAAAATAAGTGTTGAACATACAATGTTTAATAAGAGATAAGTGATCTTGCTCTACACTGTATTTAGTTTTCAGAATATTTAGAGTTTTGTTATAGGAATATTTGTAAACAGTACTATATCGAAACTTACTAAATTGTCTGACGGTGAGATAGGATATTGTTTAAGAAGTTCGATGAAATAAAAAGAATTTTTGATAAAGGATGAAGTATTTTCGGCGAGAGGATGTAGAGTTTTGGCCAAGTACTTGGCCAATGGTTATGTAGGGCAGTTGTATACAGTAAAAATGGAACGTAGAGGAATATCGGGTTTGTGAATTTTCACGAGAAATTTTTTTTCTTTAAGTGACGCCTCCCCATCGGAGGTTGGATATCATCATCACTGTCTTTACTCTATCTACTGCTGCTCTGAAGAGTTCTATAGAACTGCATTTAAACCAGTATTTTAAATTCTTCAACCATGACACTCTCCTTGTTCCTATACACCTCCCTCCTCTTATCTTTCCCGTATTATCAGCCTTAGCAGTTCATATCGCTGTCCCCTCATTACGTGTCCCAGATATTGCAACTTTCTTATTTTTATTGTGTTTATCATTTCGCATTCTTTGCCATTTCTCGCAATACTTCTGTGTTAGTTTTCTTCTGTGTCCATACTATTCTTAGCATCCTCCTGTAACACCACATTTCAAAGGACTGAACCTGTAACTTATTTATGTGTTCTTGCTTCAACGTCCAATAGTCCATATTGCAGTATCGAAGACACGTAGCATCTCAGTGCTCTTACTTTCATTTCTAATCTAAGGCCTTTGTTGTAAAGAATTGTTTTTATTTTTACAAACGCATTTCTAGCTATTTCTATCCTGGCTCTTATTTTGGTTGTTTGATCATAATTGTCTGAAATCCGGGCTCCTAGGTATTTGTATTTATTAACCCTTTCTATTGGCACATTTCCCAAATGTATGTTTGTTGGTATATTTGTTTTTTTTTGTTATTATCATGTATTTGGTCTTGTTTATATTCATTTTTAGTCCATATTTTTCACAGAACCTGTTTGTTTTGTTTAGCAGTAATTGAAGTTGTTCAGCAGAGCTTGCCATAATCACGGTGTCATCTGCATATCTTATGTTGTTAATAGATTTTCCGTTAATTATTATTCCTTCACTTTGAGATAGTAATGCTTCCTCAAAAATGGCTTCACTATGTACATTAAATAGTATTGGGGACATAATACATCCGTGCCTAACTCCTGATTTCAATTTCTGGACTAAGTTTGTTATCTATTACGATTTGTGCTATTTGATTCCAGTAGAGGATTGTTATTATTCGTAAGTCCCTATGGTCTATGTTTTTTTGTCTTTAAAATTTGGACTAATTTTGCATGTCTTACTTTGTCAAATGCTTTTTTAAAATCAACGTAAGGTTGTTGGATTATTAGGAATTGGTCTGCAGTCTGGAGTATTTAATAAGATTGGAGAGTTTATTCCTATTTATATAAGAAGAATTATATAGGATGACGGTGACATTGCCTTTATAGGCGGGAAGAATGACTATATTTGGATTCAAGCACCTTTCTCTTCAAGAATTTTAAGAATAAAATTGTTCAGTAGTATTCAATCTAACATAATTTTAAGTAAAAAATATGAGTCATATTAAAAACCTGTAAATATGTTGTTTATTCACTAATATTGTCTAGATTTTACGACCCTTCGACTAGCTGGCAGAAATTCCAAGTAATAAATAAAAGAACCGGTCCATTCGAACGTTCCGGAAATAGATTGAATGAGAAACCAGGCCCTAACCTTTTTGTATTTTCGCCAAGGGTCGACATCCTTCTAGTCTAATAGCTGTATGGGTATATAACGGGATTTTCATTGAAAGAGAGCAGTCAGAAGAAAAGCGCACCGCGTTTGAAATGTAACGATCGTAATAATAAATTATAATTGTAAGATAAATTATTATAAATAAACTTTAAATTAAGTTGTAAGTGTTATAAATATAAAACCTTTGATAAATAATAAAAACAATTAATTAGAATTAATAAAGACTTAACAATAACATAAATAAAACTGTTTTATTTATAACTATATATTTATTATATGTTCGTGCAATACGACTACACAAAATATGACTATTTGTTAATGATTTTTATGGATGGCGATAAAATTTTGTATGCCCTACGTCAGTAAAAACTCTTTATCTTCGCTCGCTCTGCTCGTAATGTTAGACTCTTTCAATAAAGAGTTACTTTACCGACATGGTACATAAATGACTATTGTTTTCGATAAGTCATTGGGTATTTCATACATATTTGAAAGATTTACATCATCTGAACCGTACGTTTTTGAAGAATGTATTTTATATTTTTTATTTTGTTTCAGCTAATATGTACAGTTAAATCTACCCACAAAAAGAGGACTATCCCTGTAATTGTAAGACTGACTGATATTAATGATAATGCACCTCAGTTTATTAACACGCCATATGAAACCAGCATTTCAGAGGTAAGTACACTAGTACACTACTATCTAGTAATAGGTGACTGGAAAAGTTTAAGATTTTTTTTTTTTCATTTACAATTTCCGCATCAACCATTAAAGGTTATTATCGGGTTTTACAGATTTTACAGTTGTTATTACAAATACAAATTTACTAATTACAATTGCGTATTAAATTACATATAATAAATTACAAAGAGATACATATAATATAACTTAAATTTTGTGTAGTAAACGTATGTCCTTAAGGAATTTGATTGTATTAGATACATTACTGTTTAAAATATCTTTAAGTTTCTTTGCTTCTTCTGGTACGTTGTTGATGGCTCTTTCGTAGGAATAAAGAGGACATTAAAATCAATACATGTTGAACAGTTATTGGACATTCACAATAGGAACATTCAGGTGGTAGTTCTTTTGTTATGAGATGCTGGTGAGTTAACGCTGTGTGTCCAATTCTTAGTCGGTTTATAATCACTTGTTGCCTTCTGTTTTCTGGAAATTGTAGTTTAGTGCCAATCCGAGTTTTCACGTTTTTAAGGTTAGCCTTATTAGAATTCCACATTTGTTGCCAATTTTTTAAACAGTGCTGTTTAATATTGAGCTGGATATCACTGAATGGAATTGTAGTCATAATTTCAGTTTGCTCGTCAGTAGCAGCTTTCTTTGCTAATTCATCTACTTTTTCATTTCCTGCGATACCTGTATGTGATGGTACCCAGAGAAATGTAACGTTCACGTGTCTGTTTTGTAGGTGATAAAAGTGCTAATTGTATTTGTTGCAGGATAGCATGTACTGGATATATTTGCCTTAAGCTCTGAAGAACAGATAAAGAGTCAGTAATGATAAGAAAATCTGAGCTTGCATGACTCTTACACATGTCTAAAGCCTTTAAAATGGCGATTGCTTCTCCCGTGAAAATGCTGCAGAATTGAGGGATGCGAACTGCATATTCAGACTTTCCTAGAATAAAGGCCGCTGCGTGTCCGTTTTCAGTTCTTGACGCATCGGTAAAAATCTTGTTATGGCCAGTGTATTCTAATATCCGTTCTTGATATAATTTGTTAATGATTATGGGATTTGTGGTACTCTTTGGATAGGCCGTGAGGGATAGATCAATAGTGGGAAAATTAATAGTCCAGGGAGGTATAGTTCGTTGTGTAGGGTAAGAATGTGTGAGCTGCTCCATGTCAAAACCGTATCTCGTTAGACGATTTTTAAGGGGTGGATATTTAATTTGTTGATGGCAATGAGTAGGTGGATATATTTTATAAAGAAGTGGATAGTTTGTGTTATTAGGGTTGGAAGATAATCTCGCGGCATAATTTAAAGAAATGTGTTGTATTCGTATTGAAAGTTTAAGGTTATATGTCGTAGATTTTAAAATTATTAAGAAGTAGGTAAATGTAATTTTTCTTCTGACATAAAAGATCGGTAGACGTGTTAATGGACTCCTATTCAACATATTTGATACGTTGAGTTTAACCTTTAATATAAAATTAATTGTGCCCTCAATGTTTTTTAGTCAAATTATTTACGTTATAATTCTTTCGAGTGAAGATCATAGCCATGTAGTGTTAAGAGCGGGCGTATAAAATGATGTAAGAAAGCGACATCTGCCGTTTTGTTTTCGACATGTGGTTTAATAATTTCTAATAAGGTTAGCTTATTGTTTTATTGGTGTAGAATAGCTGCCGTATATTTACAAGTAATTAAGTCCTGAGAGGAGGATACTAGAGAGGATTTCGCAAAGGAAGATCAATAACTGATCAATTTAAAATCATAATTTAAAGAAATGTGTTGTCTTCGTATTGAAAGTTTACGATTATATGTCGTAGATTTTAAAATTATTAAGAAGTAGGTAAATGTAATTTTTCTTCTGACATAAAAGATCGGTAGACGTGTTAATGGACTCCTATTCAACATATTTGATACGTTGAGTTTAACCTTTAATATAAAATTAATTGTGCCCTCAATGTTTTTTAGTCAAATTATTTACGTTATAATTCTTTCGAGTGAAGATCATAGCCATGTAGTGTTAAGAGCGGGCGTATAAAATGATGTAAGAAAGCGACATCTGCCGTTTTGTTTTCGACATGTGGTTTATTAATTTCTTATAAGGTTAGCTTATTGTTTTATTGGTGTAGAATAGCTGCCGTATATTTACAAGTAATTAAGTCCTGAGAGGAGAATACTAGGGAGGATTTCGCAAAGGAAGATCAATAACTGATCAATTTTTTATGCTAAAACAAATCCTGATCAATTGCTGTGAATACAATATTTCAGCACAAGTTGTTTTCATTGATTACAAAGCCGCTTACTACACAATATACAAAAACAAATGAATAGAAACGCTGAAAGAATTCCAAGTTCCAGAAAAAAGATTGGAAGATTGGTAAAAATGACAATTAGACAAACCATTTGTGCTGTGAAATGCAACGGTACAGTCTCAGAAGAATTCGAAGTAATAAAAAGTGTTTGCCAAGGAAACCCGTTGTCTACCATGCTATTCAATGTAGTTCTAGAAAAAATTTTAAGGGTTAGTGGTATAAATAGGTCCAGCATTATTTTATACAAAGAGCTGATGATGTGGTTCTCATTGCAAGAAAAGAACTGGCAAGTATAGCAAAAAGACTGATTCGGGAAAGCTCTAAAATCTAGAGCAAAAAAGGAATAAACACCAGAGGCTCCTTTAAATTGGAGGAGATGGATGGATCAATTGTAAAATTCGGAAAGGTGGATCAATATATGTACTTAAGTACTCTTATTGATCAGACATGTAAGGAAGATGCTGAAATCAACCTGACACTGATCAGGAGCAACAAGTGTACTGGAGCCATGAGCAAAATCATTAAGGCCAAAGATATATCTCGTAATACAAAAATAAGAGTATATAATTACACCAACGCTGCCGAGACATGAACTATGAACAAAAACCATACAGAACAGATTAGAAGCATAGAAAAGAAAGATACTTAGCAGAATGTTTGGTAGAAAAGTAGTAGAGAGAGAATGAAGAAGACGAACTAATGCAGAAGTGCACCATTTATATGCTCACCTAACAATAACAAAAGTGGTAAAAAAAAACGTAGATCAATTATAGAAAGAATGTAAGGTAATAAACTAGTCAAAAATATTGTTTGGAGAGTACCAAAGTGCAAAAAAAGATAGGCAGATCAAGAAAAAATGGAGAGATGTAGTGATGGAGGATGTCAGAGAGATCGGAATCAGAGATTGGAAACTGATAGCTAAGAACAGAAAACGATGGAAATTATCCATCCAGGAATGGGCCTAAAGGCCTGTTAACACTATACATACATACATAATTAAGTCCTGAAGACAAATATATAAATAAAGACAAAGCAAACTTACGACAGTTACAAAACAAAGAAACGAAACACGTGATATCTATGGAATTACAAAGTATATATACCGCTTTATAAGAGATCAAAGAAAAAAGGTAAAGGAACTTCTTCTTTAAGTGCCATATCCGCGCCGAAGGTTGGCAATCATCATGGCTATTTTGACCTTCGAGGCAGCTGCTCTGAACAATTGCCTTGAGCTGTAACCAAACCACTCTCTCAGGCTCTTCAACCAGAAAACGCGTCTTCTTCCTACGCTTCTCCTACTCTCTATTTTTCCTTGAATTATGAGTCTCAAGATGTTGTATCTTTCGCCTCTCATCACATGTCCGAGATATTGCAATTTCCTTTCGTTTATTGTATTTTCCATTTCCCTCTCTCTGCCTATTCTCCTTAACAATCTTCTAATGTCCACATTTCAAAGGAACTAATAGACCTTTAATATATAGAAAAGGATACAAGGATTGACTATCTATAGAACCTCTATGCAAAGGGGAAACAAATGATATAATCAATAACACCAGAAGTAACCACAAACGAAAGAGTTAATATAAACAAACAGGACTTTTACAAAATACTTAAAAACGCTAAGAAATAGAAATACTGCTACTAATAGAAATAGGTAAATACTGGGATACCAAATGAATTTCTGAACTATCGTAGAGCAGCAATGACGAAACATCTAACATTTTTAATTAACCAAATAATAAAATATAACAAAGTATCAGAAGAATGGAGAACTAGCGAACTAACTTTACTATTCAAACAAAAGCGATAAAAACCGCCAGTAAGTAGTCTTTCTCTTCTTCTTGTTATTCTTCTTCTTTCTATGTAGGTATGACTCTGTCTGTTTTTCAATGTGCCTCCAGTAAGTTGAGTATTGAGGAAATGCCTTTTGCCGTCTTTAGTACTCTATTTGATGTCATTCGGCTTATATGATCGTTCCATTCTGCTCTTCTATTTCTTACCCAGTCCTTGATGTTCTCCACCTTGCATCTACGTCGTATCTCTGTACTTCTATCTCTGTCCCATAGAGTTTTACTATAAATTTTTGTAAGTGTTTTCATTCTCTTTTAAAGAGATAGAGCAAAGAATCGTGATAGGAAAAAGGGCGATAGGATGCCTAAACCCGATGCTATGATCAAAAGAACTATCAAATCAAAGAAAGCATCTCCTCTTTAACTCCATCTTTAAAAGTATAGTGCTCTATGGATGCGAAACATGGCAACTTACTAAATCCCTTGAGCGACGCCTACTTGCATTGGAATTGGACTTCTGGAGAAGATCAGCTATAAAATCAAGGCTTGATAGAATACAAAATGACCATATCAGAAATATAATGGGAGTCAAGTCAACCATCATTGACGAAATTCAAAGGAGACAACTGATCTGGTATGGTCATGTAGAAAGAATGGACGACGACAGGCTGCCAAACCAAATGTTAAAATGGACGCCAAGGGAAAGAAGGAAGAGAGGAAGGCCAAAACAATCCTGGCTGGGTGGCATTCAGAAGGCAATGTCGGAAAGAAACCTTCACCCTGGCGAATGGAATGACCGACGTAGCTGGAAACTGGGAACCGGAAGGAGGAGAACGCTATAAAAAAAACCGGGATAATAAAAGTTTTCATTCTCTGCTGTTTCTAACATCCTTTTTGTCCTCTCTGTACCAGGTCGTGTTTCTGTCGCTTATGTCATTATTGTTTGTGATGACTGTTTTCTTCCAAAAGTTTCATTTTGATAAATGTCACCCTAAAACCTATAACTAAAATTTTACAAGAAGAAAATAAATTAGAAATGAACCACAAGGTTTTCGTACTGGAAGATCGTGTATACATCCAAACTTATTACGCCCTATAATCATTAACTGTATTATGTTAAAAGCATGAAAAGTGTCAACAAAGTGTCAACATAATGCAGCGTAATCAACAAAGAAATTAAATCTATGTCATGTATTTAAAAAAAATTGGTGCAATCTGCACATAATTACTTCATATTTGTGTTTTATTTTCAGCTGACACCTGTAGGAACAACGATTTTTCAGAACATCGTAGCTAAAGACAAAGATACGGGGAGTCAACGGACTTATAGAGTACTCTATAGTTAAAGGTAAGGCTTAAATCATAAAGTTTATAAACATATAAGCTATAAGTTTATAACTTATGTTATTTATTAAATAAACCAAACGGTATATATTTTACAAACTGTGTCCATAAAGTATAAAATAAATAAATTATTATTTTTTAAATTTGCGAACATTTATCATTGCAGGAAAATAGAACTAAAAAAACAAAAAGAGAAATCATTCGATTTCTACCTGGCGAAATCGAATTCAAATATAAGCCGCCAGTGCACCCTAAAACTTGCGAAGCAAACAGCTTGATGAATTAATCGGCAACGGAGTCTAAAAATTGCACTTCAAATACCGTTCATCATGACCTATATTCGTGTAGTACATGAAGTAGTAACTATACCGTACTGAGGAGATCTAAAGAGATCGAAATACGTATATGCGGCTTCTTGCAGCTCTGTATCAAATCAAAATCTAATACCGTCATTTTGTTTTGAAAATAGAACTGTTTCTCCTCATTCCTTGAGCCCTTGTCAGAGCGGGGCTAGGTGATACTCTAAATATTATTCTCTTGTTGTCTTCATTGGCTGCGATCTAGTGGAAGATGGGTGAATTCATGTAGGGATTTTCCCACCAGTGTCTTCATTTGTTCTGTCCATCATGATAGAGATCTTCCTCTTGATCTTTTGGCCTTCTACTTTTCCTTTAATATCCAATAGTTTCCAATAGTAGATTTAATAGAAGAAAAATCTTGGATCGAACACTACTCACAACTTTTGACTGAAACAAGACCTCAATTCACGAACATCAGTACAACAACATATGAACTGGAATTTAGTGAAGACGATGAAATAACAGTACAGGAAGTCGAGAATGCAATACGAACTCTAAAAAATGGGAAGTCATACGGACCACAAGGTATACCAAATGAATTATTAAAACATAGCCCACAAGTATTACGGGAATTACTGGCGTATGTCTTCACCTTATTCTATAATGGACACGACTTACCACCGGAGTGGACAAAAGCACATATTAACAACATATACAAAAAAGGAGATAGAAAGAATTGTTCAAACTATAGGGGGCTAAGTGTCATAAATTCACTCTCAAGACTGTATGGAAAAATAATAAAAAATAAAATTGAAAAAGAGATGACAGATGTAGAAGAACAGAATGGCTTTCGTGCAGGCAGATCCTGCATGGACAGTATATTCTCTCTAAAGCAAGTTATCGAGAAAAGATTAGCCCACAACCTTTCAACTCATATAGTCTTTATAGATCTGACAAAGGCATACGATAGTGTACCACTTTCAATGCTTTGGGTAGCAATGGAAAAACAAGGAATAAGCAAAAAAAAATATACAAGCAGTACAACAACTCTACAAAAATATGACGGCAAACATTAAAACTGGAAATAGATTAACTAGAGAAATTCCTATTAGTAAGGGCCTAAAGCAAGGCTGCTGCATAGCACCTACACTCTTCAAAATATATCTTAATGAGGCACTCTCACTGTGGAGAAGAAAGTGCTGCAATATGGGCATCCCAATCGGAGATGATAGATTGTACACGATACATTTCGCTGACGACCAAGCCATTCTAGCTGAAGACGAGAGTGATATAAGCTACATGCTTAGAAAACTGGAAGATGAGTACACCAAATGGGGCCTCACAATTAATATACAAAAAACTGAGTACTTAGTTGTAGGAGAAAAACCAGAAAGCCTACAAATCGAAATGGGAACTATAAAACCAACAGACAATTTTAAGTACTTGGGAGTCCAAATAACATCAAAAGCAGGAAGTAGCGAAGAAATACATTCAAGGATTGGCCAAGCAAGATCAGCCACCAGACAGCTACACGGACTATTATGGAATAAAAAAATAACAAAAGAAAATAAAAGAAGAATTTATAAAACAATAATAGAAAGTATTGGACTGTATGGCGCCGAACTCTGGGAAATAAACCAAAGAAACAAATCAAAAATTAAGGCCATGGAAATGAACTACTGGAGACGATGTTGCCAGCTCACTAGACTTGATAGGGTGAGAAACGAAGATATTCGGAGAGAAATGGAAATCGATCTAGACATAATAGACACAATCAAGCCAAAAGACTTAACTAGTATGGACACCTTCAGAGAATGCCGGAAAATAGATGGCCAAAAAAAATAGAAGAATGGACTCCGCCAACTAGAAGAAAACGAGGTAGACCAAGACGATCCTGGAGAGACGATGTCGACGATGCAATGACCGCCAGAGATCTAACAACTGAAGATTGCTTCGATAGAAAACGCTGGAAATTAGGATGCGAGAAGCGGCGCCAGCTGTAGAAGACTCGCTTGTTATATATTATATATATCCAATAGTTCTATAGTCCTTGGACCTGGTCCACATGCACTTCTTTGAATAGCCTGGTATTAATCTTTTGAACAAGTGTCATGAACACAATTTGGATTCCACGATACCTTAGGCACCCGAGAAGCTCTATTCGCTATACAAATGCTTATCCAGAGATGCGGGGATGTCAACTATGATGTATATATTTGTTTTATCGACTACAAAAGGCATTTGATAGAGTAAAACATGACAAGCTCATATCCATCTTGAAAGAAACGAGTTTGGATGATAGAGATTTGCGAATTATACATAATATTACTACCAAACTGTCAACATTAAAGTGACAGAGAAAATCTCCATAGATAGAGTGAGACAAGGATGCATTCTGTCTCCAGTGCTATTTAAAATGTACTTGGAGCTTATCTTCGAGCAAGCACTGGAAGAACTGCAGGAAGGCGTCTTAGTTAACGGAGTGCTAAACAACATTAGATATGCTGATGACGCAGTAGTTTTTGCAGATAGCCTAGATGGTTTAAGTGTAGAGTATGGGCTGAATTTCAGTACGAACAAAAAAATAAGTACATGTTCGTTAGTAAGCTCGAAATATTAAGTACACATCTTTTGGTAAAGCAACAACCAATTGACAGGGTAACCAGTTACAAATATCTTAGTGCTAACATAAACATTCAATGGGATCACTCTACTGAAATAAAACAACACATAGGGAGAGCAAAATCAGCGTTCGTAAAGACGAAGTCTCTTTTCAGAAGTCATGATTTACCACTTAGTACCAAAATCTCTATCATCAGATGCTACGTATCTTCTACATTATTATACGGAGTCTGAAGCTTCTTTAGGAAAACTTAGGATATCTATGCTGATCGCCAACATCTGGAATGGATAGACACCGTAAGAAGAAGAAGAAGAAGAATCTTTTGCCCTGGCCGCTTAGGGGCAATATTTATTGTTAATTGAACACCTATTGGACAAGATGCGAGTTAATTTAGAACATCTTCACCAAATTTTGGGAACACTTCAGAACAGTTAATTAGGACATGGAACGAGATACCCTAGAATAATATTGTTTGCATAATCAGAAGCGCATCCAAGAGTTTGTTGCCCATCCGGTGCATCATTATTAATTAGTCAGTAATTTTTATTGTTTGTTTATGTGGTTATCCTGTATAATTGTAGAAAATATTTTCGAAGTGTATTAATTTATATTGGTTGTTCGGATTTCTATGCCTTTTAGTACCTATACTTTTATGTTTATCCACCCACTTTGGTTTTATTAGAGTCTGAAAAAATTAATTTTCTTGTAATATTATTTTTATGTACAAAATATTAACCAATTTTCTTTTTCAGCCGATTACATACCGCCCGATGATGGAATCGGTAAAGGGCGTATTCATAGTGAAGATGGGTATGGGTATTTCGCCATCAACTTGCCACACCAAGGTCAGGTTTACTGTGAACAGGACTTTGGATTTTGAAAAGACTCAACGGTATTATGTCACAATTGTAGCCACCGTAAGTACTATATTTGTTTATTTTACAATGGTGTAATATATTCAAAAATGAAGTCATCAAAAACATTACTTCATCATGCCATGTCAAATAATGTTTTCATCCATTCTGCTTGATTACGGAAATAATGATTTATATAGTAGTTACAGTAATAAGCAAACATTCTTTCATGTCATTAATGGACAAATTCAAAGATCTATGTACCGCTATTTAAATAACGTATTTTCTTACATTCATTTTGTCGTTTTTATTACAATTATTACTAAATTTCATGTAGGTACGATATTTTCTAATATTACTACGTTTTATTTATTGATATCTGCTTTTTATTTTATTTTAATTTTTACTAAGTAATCAAATATGTTTCGTCTAGTTGATACCGTATATATTTTTCATCCTTCAATTAGGAGTATTAAAACTAGTCAACAGACAATCATAGTCGAGGAAGCCACTGCGCATCCGATAGGAAAAATATTCTGACTCTTTTTTACACAATCTTACTCAAAAAAGACCCCTTTAAACAAATTTACATGTCACCAGGACCAAAAATGCGCCAAAAATTGTTTAAACAATTTTTTTTTTCAAATTGCAAAAATCGATGTTTTAGCCCCAGACAAGTTGTTGTCCGGAGCTAAAACATTGCAGCTAAAGCATTGTTTTAGTTGTTTTTTGGACTCTTTGTCAAGTCTCAGGATTTGGCCTAGGTAGATTTATTCCTGGATTTGTTCTATCTCACTGCCGTTTACAGTTATATGTCTGGGGTCTTCTGTGTTATCATTATTTTTGTTTTTTTCATATTCATTTTTAGGCCGACCTATTGGGAGTTGGCTGCTAGTTCCCCCAACATAATTTGCAGTTCCTCTAATGTGCTCGCTATAATTACTATATCGTCAGCGAATCTGAGAGTGGTTTAACTTGTTGCCATTAACGTTGATGCATAGGTTGGCCAATTTGTAGTTTTGAAGACGTCTTCTAGGGCTAGGTTGAAAAGCTTTGGCGATATTACGTCTCCTTGTCTCACTCCTCTCTTAATGGGGATGGGATTTTATATTTTCGTCTAGTTGTACTATCATAGTTGCATTTTCATATATATTATGTATTAGTTGCCTATATCTCGAGTCTATTCTACAATTATTAATAGCTTGTTCTATGGCCCACTATCTCGATACTATCAAACGCCTTTTCATAGTCGACGAAGGCAAGAAATACGGGTAGTTGGTATTCATTTGCCTTCTCTATCAATGTTCTCATTGTCAGCAGATGGTCTGATGTACTATATCCTTTGCGGAAGCCAGCCTATTCAACCGGTTGGTAATTATCCATTTTGTAGGTTAACCGGTTATTAATAATTCTCATACATAGTTTGTATACTTGACTGAGCAACGATATAGGTCTATAATTCTGTAGATCACATTTGTCCCCTTTTTTGTGTAAGAGTATTACTAGACTCTCGTTCCAGTCTTTAGGAATCTGGCTATTGTGGAGACATCTATTAAATAGCTCTGTTAGTACAGGGATTGTTAATGTCTTGCTTGTTTTCAAGAGCTCGGCAATTATACCGTCGTGTCCTGGAGCTTAATTATTTTTTTAGTTCTTTTAAAGCTCTTTCTATTTCGTATCCCTTTATATTGTTAGCGTCTTTCTCGAAATGGACTAGAGATAACGAACATCTTAAGGATGGCCGATGAAATAAAGAAATCGGGAATTGGCGGCCATATGAAGCCAAAAGACCACGAGGAAGACCGCAAATGGGATAGAGCGACGATATTAAAAGAACTGCAGGGTTAATGTGGAAACGCCTTACAAACAGAGATGAATGGCGAGAATTAGGATAGGACTATATTTGTCAATCCGAATAGAAAAAAGGCTTAAAAAATACTTTTTGTTACAGTTCCTTTTAGTTCTCATTCTTCTTATTTCTCATTTAGTTCTTATTCAAGTGTTTTTATAGTAGATAAAATGTTCAAGAAGATTGTCGTTCACAATTAGTTTGAAAATAGTTATTCCGCATTTAACACGTCATGAAAGTTTAGTTCTCTGAGTACCTACGATTATAATTATATAAGGTATGGTTGTGTATAAATATTGAATTATGTATAAATAAATAACAGTCACGTAATGCCGACATGATAACAACATACCTACCTAGTTCTGTGTTTAAAAGATTGTATATTCGTTTCTCTGACCTTTTGCTTTATACGTGACCAACTTGTGAGACATTTTATACAAGAAGTAAACTAATAAATTCTCCTTGAAACCGACTGTCTGATATCAACTAATCAATCAGCTCGATTTGTTGCGTGGATACCTGAATAATCCACGCAATTACGCTATTTCCTTTTATTTTTTAGTAATTATAGAGAAAAAAGTCAGTAGGTTAAGGAAGTGGTAGAGGGGATATGCTATATATGGAATAACGTTTTGTATAGAATTTTTCATATAAAAATGAGTACACGTCATTTAAGATTTACGACGTCAGAACATCACAGCGCTGCCAAAACAATACACTAGTCAATTAAATTCTATTTTTAAAATGTAATAAAATGAGTCAAATAATTCAAAAAGGTTTTATTAACTTAATAAACCCAATGCTAGTAATAATAATATCATTATCAGCCGTTTTGAGTCCACTGCTGGACATAGGCCTCCCGTAAATGTTTCCAATTCATTCTGTCTTGAGCACACCTGAATCCAGTTGTACTGAATGCGCTTGATGTCATCTTACCACCTTATTAGAGGACGTCCTCGATTACGATAAGCACCGTGTCTAGGTCCTTATTCCAGAAATTTTCTTCGTCGACCTTCTATCTTTTAATCTGGCAACATGCCCCAACCAGTTCCATTTAGAACTGCGTCAGTAACACCAGTTTTTCTCCTTACTATTGTATTTGATACTCTGTTTTCTGAGGGATATATTCAGCATTGACCTCTCCATCGCTCTCTGTGTCACTTGTATTTTATTGATTACTTTTCTGGTAAGGGTCAATGTTTCTGCTCCATACGTTAGAACTGGGAGTAAACATTGATCAAAGACTTCTCTCAGTTTTCCGTATGCCGCACATGCCAGTCCTATTCTCCTGTTTAGCTCTCTCCCTAATTTAATCTCGTGGTCCAGATATTTATAGCTATACACCTGTTCAATTTGCGTGCCGTTAAGCCGCGTTTACACGATGACAATTGGCGAGACAATTGTCATTGGACAATTGTCTTGGACGATTGTCATCACGTGGTTGTGGTTTGTAGGAGGCCAGTCTAGTTGAACGAGAAGATGCACGTACACATTCACTGATCCAGATCCAGATTTAACACTTTTTTTTCGGTTTACTCAATATTAAGAGTACCTCGTACTTGATTTTTGCTTTTACCTCAGCTACACTAAATCCTTTGAGGTTTATAAATTAAATGTCATATCACTGGTTGGTTTTTTAGAAAGTGGGAAGTTTTTCGGCTTTTAACTTTAATTGACTTCTTTCTGGGTTCCTAAATATATTATATCTTTAATGCCTGCCTCAATTTTTCTTATTTACTCTTAGTTTCCATTTAACAATTTGCTTCGTCTAACGGCTGTCTTCCATTCTTCCTATGTGACCTACCCAGTTCCATTTTTAAAAAGTAATCTTCTGGATTATATCAACTTTTGGACCGGAATGGGTCCAACCAGACGAAATAAGTAAAGATAGGACAAGATAAGATATATTAGAAAAGATACGGAAATAAACAAAAAGATAGCTGGGTAAAATTACCAAAGATAAAATAAGATAGAAAAAGGGCGGCACTTAACTTTTTGGAGTTCATGGGAAAAATTATAAAAAAAGAAACGAAAAGAGATAAGGAAAGATATTTAGGTTCTGAGACCAAATCCAAAGAAAGATCAACAGTTAATTAATAAACAAATTTTGTCAACACGCTACATAAACCAATAATAAATATATTACCTACAAAACTTAATCAGCCTGATCTTTCTCCTGATCGAAGGTATAATATAATTTAATGTAATAAGCAAATATTCATAGGTATTATTTGATCAGGAAACTTATTAAGAGTCTAGAAATAAAATTCATGGATAAAACAAAACAATATATTCAACAACACAATTAAATAGGCGACTGAATGTAAACACAAGTAAAATATTGCACCATCAATTAATAAATAGTTGTATGCATATGGAAATAGACAGTATTATGATCAAGAAGTAACTTTACAGATACAATATAATAAAATCATGCACAATTAAATCACCAGCGAAGAGAGCCTGGTAGTATTTAAAAAAAATTAACTAAAGCTGATTAAAGAAATCTCTCTTCGCTGTTTATCGGCTTATCTCGAGATAACGGGTACAATAAATTTAAAAATGGATAGCAATTATAGCAAATAAAACAAGATTAATTAAATTTAAATTCAAAAAATACAAAAAGATTACAAAAACTCTGTAGTATAAAAATAAAACCAACCCGCACTTGGTTATCAGTTAAATGTCTGTCTCACACTGTTTTTAGTTTAATTAACTGTTCTTATTGAATGTTCGTAATTGTTAATTGTGAGAAGTTTTTAATAACTGATTAAAAGTTCGTATAAAAGAATTAAATGTTCTTTTAATTGAATTGATAAATCGGTAGTTAACCTTAACTGGTGAAGAAAACGGTTGACGCAGATTCGTCCAGAATTGGGTAATATGATTACAATATTATTCGAACAGATACTTAAAGGTAATATGATTACGATAATTTACAATAAATCTCGATGACTGCTGCACTATTTCACTGATTCAACTATACTTAACTAGTATCAAGCACTGAAGTTAATCAAAATGAAGGTACTTTATAACAATATTTAATCTAATATGGTATCAGATTAATATATTTCAAAGATTTAAGTGTATACACAGTGTATAAAGAAAAAATTCACAGAGAACGGTAAAATAAGCGTGCGTCTTTACTCGAAGAGTGTCCTACCCCCACCCAGAGTCATTTTCTTCCTGCAAATTGTTGAATGGAAACCAAGAG